GCTAATATAAGCTAATATAACGTCACACTAACAACTTTTTGCAGCATGGGCCTTTGGTAAAAGTTGTTTCGTCTTTTTGGGTTAGTCATAGAGTTCTTTTCTATGGGGTGGTTGATGGTTTGGGTTGGGTGACTGCTCGACTGGCACTAGTACTACGTTTTCTTCTGTTATTAATATTAATATTGATCAAACTTGGACTTATAATGCTGAGTATAGTCCTCTTGGATGAATTCTAACTGTAATATGTCTAGCGGTTTTAGGGGCTAACTCCCTAATTTTAATACTAATCTCAAAACTTTACGTTAATCTCAAGTGATAATAAACATGTATTACACAAACTGTCATGTTTCTACAGAAAAATCAAGCCGTGCTGATAAGCGACCCGGCAATAAACACGTCCAGAAGGCCAGACAACGTTTAAGCCAATAGCGTAGTTTTCAATATACAGTTGACGCTGCCTATACCGAACTTTGGGTATACCGAACCAGAATCACCAGATCCGATTTTCTCTAATCAATAAATCCGGTTATAACGCAAGCTCTGGTTATAACACACTCTGGTTATAAGAACTAAAATCCTTCCGTCAGTTAGTTCGGTATAGGCAGCGTCAATTGTAGATATATAATTGTGCGTTGCTTAACTTTTCCGATATTAAAGAATAAAGTTTTATGAACCAATTGTTGTCACGGCTGCTGGTAAAATTTATGAAAATCGTTTTACTACTGTAGTTGTCGCAAGAATAAAGCGAGCAATTTCAAAAATTACGTCATTAAGAGAAAGAAAAACCAATGTGAGACTAATTGACAAAATATTGGCAAACAAATCTGCTGTGGACAAGCGCTTTATATAATAACAAGTTCTCGGAACAAAGAAATTTTACAACAGAAATTATGTAAAGTATATACGTAATATAATTCAACGCTTAAGTGAATCTGTAAATGTCAAACTTTATTAACCAATAAATTGCATGTTTTTAAATAAATGCCGTCCCAAACAAGGTATGATTGTAGGCAAATACGTATACTCAAATTATCGTTAAATCACGTGTCCTACTTGTATATCGCGAGTCAAGCTATTATAGCATTAAGTCTGGTCGACTGCGTTATAACGGAACACAGTAAAAATGTTAAGTAATCGGTTTCATTTTGTATACGCAAGTATAATGGAAAGTTATTGAATAGTATGTCGTAATATTTTACATTTGGAAGCCAATGCGCCGGCAATGTTGAGGTTTTCCCAAGTCGGACATTTGCTAACTAAAACATAAGTGAGAATATGTAATAATTCAGTTATGCGTAATGTAAGGCCCTGAATTTTATGTAGTTTTAGAGCAAATAAATTTTTTAAAGAGAATTAAGATTGAAAATTGGCTGAATTTCCTAATTTATATGGTGCCCAAAGTTTTTGCACTTCAGCATAAAAGTAGGAGGTGTGTTGTTGTTACCAGCAGTGAACTATTGCATTCTGGACACAAATGCCACTTGAACAGAGAGTGAATCTTGTTAATCTTTCTAATAAGCAACCGGATAGTTTCGTGAATAAGTAGGGCAATATGTATGATTTTATGACACATGCGTACAATAATTGATATCGGTATGCTTATTATTCTATTAAATGCAATGAAAAATTTTTCAACAATTATGATCAGCGATACTTTGATTTTACATGGTTAATTGTTCAAGGGCTACGTCATAACTGTAGCTGTACGATTGTCTACTAAGTAATTAAGTCAAATTTGTCAGAACAGAGTTTTTGTTCATTTACAATTATTGAGAGATCGACTATCGAATTTCATATTTCAAACTAAGCGAAAAATCCAAGTCGGTGGTTATATGCGCTTTTGCTACGATTCCTTCGCAATTGATAGCATAAAATGTAATGTATATAGCCACGTTTCTAAACAATCGAATGAGATAATCAAATACGTGTACACCAGTACAAATAATGCAATATCGATATAATGCAAATATTATTTTAAACGTCGCACGGCATAATTCCATACAAGGAGCAATCCGCATGGTAAAGATCAACATTGTTCCGTGGCGATGAAAAGTAATGCGTTACTATTTATACTCCAGCCAATAAAACCGCAAATGCCTGATCACATTTCACTCCGATTAACCTCCACCCTGAAGGGACCATGAGATTACATTATTATGCATGGATGTAGATATTACAAAATATTATTTAGGAAACCATTTTTCTTATAAAAATAATGGCGGTGATAACATGTTGGGCTGTATCAACTGAACAACTTGTCAATTGACTGATTAGCAACCACAAAAACTATGAAACACCCAATTTTCCCCCTATTCTTTGTGTTGGTCATAATTTCAGTAATTAACGCTTTCCCGCATGTATTAAGTAAACGGGCTACTCAATTTAATCAATGTGATGTGAACTTGCCGCCGCTCGACGTATTCACCTCACCTGATCCCATTGTTTCTGACCAAGATAATACTTTTAGCATTTCCGGAACTGCCACAAGTGATATTACCGAGGCTACTGTTGGAATCTATGTTTACGGCAATAACTACTTCCGGGACTACAAAGACGATTTTTGTAAACTCTATGAATCATGTCCCGTCAAGAACAATACTAAGTTTGACTTCCAGTTTACGGTTAAGCCAGACAACTTGCCTGCAGATTATATTATCCTGGTCGGGCTATTTGATACCGAAGTAATCACGTATTGCGCTGACACGATGCCGTCGTCGAAATAAGAGCACTCGTGTACTGAGATTATCAAATATCTATTTATCTTTCTATTAGTGTGTATTACTTTGTTTTATTTGACTTTTTTTTCTTCTTCATGCATACGCACGTTCAGCAGTACGTAAACTTTAATTAACACTTTAATTTAAATTTTTGAAAAATTAATATGAGCAAATTGGAGTGCGTTCTAACTAACATACTGTACAAGCTCGAAGATGTCTTCTCGACTGTTCTTATATATTACTCAAGTAGAGGTTTAAAATTGTGAATAATTCTACGCTTAGATAAGTCTGTAGAAAGGCTAAATGTCACTTTATTAACCAATAAATTTGCATGTTTTTAAATAGATAGTATAATACCTCCTTTATACTCCCAAAGTCCCTGTCTCAAACAAGTAGCATAGAAATTGTCATTTAAATTACGTATCTTGACTAATCTTCTACTTGCAAGTCAAGTTCATTGCAATAGTTAAATATTTAAATTAGCGTGGCATTGAAATCTGGTCAACCGCATTGACCAGGCAGAGCAGGTTATAACGGAGCAACAGTTAATGTGTCAAGTAATCGATTTTATTTTTGATACGCGAGTTATAATTGAATAATATGTTGTAATTTTTTACTATATTTTAATCTGTTATAAGAGTAGTTTTGTCTAATGCACTGATGTTGGGTTTATGTATTAGTATTGTTAGAGCCAATAATTTTTTAGAAAATTTGAGGATAAAAAGTTTTTTGCACTGCAGCATGAAAGTAGTAGGTGTGTTGTTGGAACCAGTAGTGCGGTAAATTATTGCATTCTGCACATAACAGGGAGAGATTCTTCGTCAAATTAGCTGCGATTTTATCGCTACCAAGTTAGAATTTTCAAACTATTTTTGCTCAATGTATGCCAGATCGGAATTTATATCAGATCAGAATCTATGGAATGGACACATGTCCGATCGAAATTATTGCATTATACTTCAGTCTTGTCTAATCACTGTGTCAAGTTCCTGGACATGTCTCACACTAATACTACAGTATTTATCCAACTGTACAAGAGATGCGTATTTAGTTACATATTATAAACCAAATGTCATAGGAGCAGCAGCAAATATTATTAACGTGTGTTCCGTATTCCAATAATGTCTAATTTATTAAAGTTAGTTATTATTTGAATATTTCCCGTTAATGCTGGATTACCGTTTGCCTGTTTTTTTTTCTTCCTCGCTCGGATTAATTGCACTAATAGGAGACACTATTCTCAGATATAGCCACGTAATTGATAATCAACTTATGCAATGACTGATGTTTTAATTGTATATGGCAAAGTGCATAAATTTTTGATACATCAAGTTTAATGCTGTTGGTCAACACCACTTCCTAAATTTTGCGTTAGTATAACAATACACAGTAATATTATTTCGATATGACATGTCCATTTCGCAGACATAAATTCTGATCTGACATGTCATTTCGAACGGACATAAATTCTGATCTGACATATGTCAGTTCGGAATAGACGCAAGTCCATTCAGGGTTGCGTCACAACTATAATCGCACGATTGTCTACTACGTAGTTAAGTCAGATTTGTCAGAGCAGAGATTTTTGTCCGATTTATTTTATTGAGAAATTGACTTATTTCATAATTTTAGCCATGTTTATTTAAAATCAAATATTTAATAATAACTAAAAAATGTAAAAATGTCTAAATGGTTAGTTATATTCACCTTTGCTATAATTCCTTCTTAATTGATAGCATAAGCTGTCATGTACATGGCCGCGCTTCTAAACAAGCGCATGAGATAATCAAATACAAATACACCAATATAAGTAACGCAATATCAACATCATCTTTAACGTCGCACAGCATAATTCTGATGTAAGGGCAATCAATCTTCATGATAATAATAAGGATTAATGTTATTCCGGACGGTCATCATTTGTTAACGGTGTGTTGAATAATATGGCTAGTTGATAATTTTAATAATTTACATCATCATTTTAGGCAAATGCCGATGGGTGTTATCCGAATTGTTACACATACAATATTTGGCCGACATACAGTGCGCTCGCACCGGCCGGTTCATCGAGCCCAATTGAATTTGGAAATTGCAAAATATAAGTAATATTATTATATAAATTTGGCCTGCGGATTATTACATCAACGTCCGGATAGACATTATGCTTGCCGCTTCGACCAACCTGAAAGACTCCTGAGCTTATTAAATATTTTATTATTGGATGTTGCTTGTTTCGTTCGACTTTCTTTTCTTCATGCATATGAACATTCATGTAAACTTTAATCAATACTTCAATTTTAAATTTCTGAAAAAATAGTATAAGCAAAATTGAGACGCTTTCCCAACTGTTTTTATACATCACCCAATTACGAATTTTTGCTGATAGAAATATCAATATAGATTAGCATTTTAATTTAATTGCAATAACATTTATGTATTATTATCGTCTTTCTATAATACAATTCATAGATAACAAAAAAAAAGGTTTATCAAAGAAAGCGAGAACCACTATAAGAGAGTGAACGGTTGATTAGTTATGTTTATCTTTGCAAAAAAAAAATTTATAAAATTTAAAAGCAGATAGTACACAGTGAAACTCGATAAGTCGGACACTCGATAAGTCGGATTTGGCTTAAGTCGGACGAAATCTCTCAGCCCCTTTTTTTCATATTTAAATTTTCTCGATAAGTCGGACGACATATATAAACTCTCGTTAAGCTGTAAGTCGGACAACCTCTCCAGACAGGTACTAG